CGACAGTCTGATTATCCCAAAGCCCCTTATTTGGTTTCTCTTCCATCTCTTCACATCCGTTCCTTCCCTACTTTCCCTCTTTCCCAATAAGAGAAACCAATCAACCTTTTTTTTTACTTTGATTTTAAAACTACAAATCATTAAACTGCTTTGATGTGGAAAAGGACTCAAATGAAACCATTTAAACCATGCATTTGATCCTACAACAAAACGTTTTAAAAAGTCACTTGGCAGAGCCATACAGGAACAGGGTGCCAGATTTCTACGAGTGATAATCACCAGTTCCAATGAAGCAACAAAAGGAAGTCTTTTTATTTCAAATGTGTAGATGTAAATATTTTAAGTCTTTTATACTTTTTCTCAACCCTGTAAAACTGGTTTATAAGTCTATATTATTTGGTGTTACTCAACTTTTAATTAACAGTATAGCCAGTTATTTTCACAGGAAATCAACACTTATAATAATACCTTGCATTTAACTTAACATGGTAAATCTTATCCTCATTTTGTCAATAACATTTTTCAACCTGAAGGGTTAAAAGTCACTGTACTCTGGTTACAAATGGGAAAACCTAAAAGAATTGACTCAGTAACTACAAAACTGCATGGAGGGCCAAGAGCTCAGTTATATACTCTGATGTTAACATATTATTCATGCAGAAGACCAGTGGCCCAGCATGAGTTGGTTGGTAGTTGGGATCTTCATCCTGGCTTAACAGACTGAATTTTTGTTTTATTAGTGTTTACTCCACGATAATACCTAATTCTTTTTATAACTCTAATTTACTTTTGTAAAGTTTGACCATTTACACTGTTTGCGAGGAGGACTAGTTTTTCCCATACTTAAGTTAAATACAATAAACATAAATTGACTGAAAAAATGTGTCATGACTTTAGTTGTTGTAGCAGTATCCAGTTGTCCTAAATTTTCCAAATGGTTACTTTTGTTGCAGATGAGTTAAAAAAAGAAAAAAGCCATCCAACTGACACTGGTCCATTTTTGAATAGCAGTATAGACCATGCATAGAGGTCGTTACCTTCACAGAAGAGTCTTAAACTAGTGTTTCAGAATCACAGTACCAAAACATACTTATTTCTATCACAAAGATCTTCAGAAAAAACCTTGGCATTTCTGTTTTCCCTTTGATGCTTTCTAACTCCCTTCAACCAGGTTAAAGATACAGTAAAACTGGTAGCCATTCTTAGCATCCAGCTTGCACACTTGTTACGTTGTATAAGATCAATTTGTTTCTTGTTGCAGTCTCTCCATTTATAAATGTGATGAATTAGATGCTCTTGATCAAATTGATAATGACTTTTTATTTTTTGAGACAGACTCTTGCTCTGTTGCTCAGGCTGGAGTGCAATGGCACTATCATGGTTCACTGCAGCTTCAACCTCCTGGGTTCAAGGAATCCTTCCACCTCAAACTCCCAACTAGCTAGGACTATAGGCACGGACCAGCACACTTGGCTAGTTTTTTAATTTTCGTAGAGCCAGGGTCTTGCCATGTTGCCTAGGGCTTAAGCCATCTTCCCACATTGGCCTTCCTCAATGTCAGGATTACAGGCATGAGCCACAACACCCAGCCAATGATGACTTCTTTGGAAAGGACACCTATGGCACTATCAAGGGGAATCTAGTTTGGTGTTATTGAGCTGTATGTCCCGTTCCTAAGTATATTTGTTTGCAAATATGCTTTGTTGTTTATCTGTGTGAGTATAAATTGCTGCTTCTATTACCACTGTAAATGAAACTTCTCTTTTATGATTCAGGAACTATCAGAGTTCTAAATCATACTTACCTGGATCTCTTTCACCGGAAGCAAGTGGTTTAATGTAACAGACTCCATTTTAGCAGAGACAACAACTGAGCGCTAGAAGACAGTCTGAAAGGCAGTAGTTTTAGAAATAGTAGCGAGCATTGTGGCGGGCCAGGAGAAACCATATGGGACTGCTCTGTACTGTTGGGAGAAAGAAGACAGAAGGGTGATGGAAATGAGATGCCTCAGATGGGATTGATCAGTTGCTATGGTTTCTGAGGTGCATTTTAATACCAGAGGCTGTCAGTTGTGTAAGTACTTCATTGACATGTAGATTTAGGTACAGGCTACCTTGGAAGAACCTGGGGAAGATATGACTGTACGTTGCTCAGATTGGGGCTCAGCCTGAGAAATTAATCTGTAGTGAAAGGCTCTGTAAAAGGACACTCAAGAGAGTAGATTTGATGGTACAAGAAAGATGGTACAGAAGAGGACATTATAACATTCTAGAGAAAGACTTCCTCAGAGGTCCTGCTCTTTACTACCACAAACTCAATGGGCTTACCTGGGAAATGGCATCATGGAATGACAGCCACTGAGTACTGTTGACACACTCTGAACTTAGAGTCAGAATTTTTGTGTTCAACTCCTGGGCCTCAAATTAGTATCTTGGCAACCTTAACAACCTATCTTAGCTTTCTTCTCTCCTGATTTCTCATCTGTTCTCTGAGCTCTGGAAGTTATGATAGGGGTCAAATGAGATAATCTATTTAAAAATCACAAATTATTTCTCTATTTACCTATAGCACCAACATTCTTCCATGTTACCCCTGTTCCAAAAGTAGGATGTGAACGATACCAACTGCTATGAGTGAGGTTTTGAAAATGCTGATGGCAGGACTTCAGGATCATCTGGGGTTGCCATATACCTGCACCCTTATGTGTTTGACAGTTTTCTTAGGAATGGACACCCACATGCACGTACTTACACATATTCTTTATGTAAAATGGTAGGATGCTAGGAGTGAGCCTTACAAAGCGGGGCACATAACTATCAGGGCTTTTTAAAAAAAGTAATTCAAGTAAATGACAAATACCCACTTAATCGAACTAGCTGTGATGATTCAAAAAAAAGGGCAGTGTTTCAGAGAGAATTTTATGTCCACAGGTTGAGGAGAGACTTTCCCTTGCAAAAGCAGTACAGATCCCTTATGCCTCTAATCATGCTTCCTCTAGTGTAACATTCTACATAATCAAAGCACAGTGACTGAAACTGGAAAATTCAGATGGGTATAATACTACTAACTAATCTAGAGACTTTATTCAATTGTTGCTAATTTTCCCACTAATGTCTTTTTTCTGGTCTGGGATCACACAACTTTATTTGATTAGTCCCCTCTAATCTGGAACCATTCTTTATTTTTAATAAATCTTTCCTGAACTTTACACTTTGAAGAGTACTATCTACTGTTTTGTAGAATGTCCCTCAATTTTGGTTTGCCTGATGATTTCTGATGATTGGCTTGAGGTTTTAAAGTTTTTACAGTGTGTTTGTCCATTAAAGGAAGAGTTTTAATGGACTCACGGTTCCACATGGCTAGGTAGGCCCCACAGTCATGGTGGAAGGCAAAGGAGGAGCAAAGTCACATCTTACATGGCAGCAGGCAAGAGTATGTGCAGGGAACTTTATAAAACCTTTATAAAACCATCAGATCTCATGAGACGTATTCACTGTCATAAGAACAGCATGGGAAAGACTTACCCCCGTGATTCAGCTAACTTCCATCGGCTCCTTCCCACGACATTTGGGGATTATGGGAGCTACAATTCATGATGAGATTTGGGTGGGGACACAGCCAAACCATATCATTAGAAGAATGCCACAAAAGTGATGTTGTGCCCTTCTTAGTGTGTCCTAACGAGCGGTATATGATGGCGTGATTTCCATTCATGGTGGTAAATTCGATCACCCTTTTAAGATAGGGTCTGTTAGGTTTTTCCATGATAATGTTATGATTTTCCATTTGTAATTAATAAGTATCTTGTCATTTTGTTTTTAAGAAGATACTGTGCTTTCTTAAATTCATGATCAGGGTTGGGGCAAGTGTCATTCACAGAGGGATGCAAAGTGTGCCGTCCCAATGGGAAGAAATGGTGCCCTAGAAAGTGATGGAGTCATTATTTAAGTGTTTGAATAGATTTCTCTCAATCCATGCTGAAATGGATTGCCTGACATTACATTGCAGGATTTTAAAGTCCTACCTCCAGGCAAATCTCATAGTTACTAGCAAAAATGAAAGTGTGAAATTTTTTTTAATGTATATTTAACAACACATAGTCTGGTGATTACTGATGTGTATTCTCTGTGGACTCCCTTTGCTATCAGAGGAGGATGCTGAGAGACAACTTTTTACACATTTATTCTATCTAAATCCATCACATGTTTACTTTTTAGATATCTATGACTGTCATTTATAACAAGATCATAAAAAGTCAAATACATTAAGTCTAACTCAAACTTTGAATCATAGAATTACAACCAATTTTCAGGAAAAGTACAATTACCTTTTATGAGTGATGTTTTTCTTACTCTTCCTTATGAAATTGCCTGCTATTAAATGATACTAAAATATAGCCATTCCAAAAAAAAAGATACAGTTTAGTAACAAGATATGAGGGGTAATGCTACTTTATTCATCTTTTTGATTCAGAAATTCACATAACTCCTACTTAAAGGAATTTTCATCATTGAATCCAGTGTCATGTCTGCTTATGTTGAAGAAGTAAATTTCACAAAATGTACTTAATTCCTTCCTGTAGTATCACAGTTTAATAAGGACTAAGGTACTATTTTTTTCATTTATATTGGATTTCACAGCAGGAGTTCACATCTTATACTAATATATGCTATTTTTTTGCATAGTATATAGATCATTGTTGTTAAAAAAGCAGTACTGAAGGCATTTTAGATCACAGAGCCCCAGTGGTCTACATTTTGTTTGCTTTGACATTATTAAACTCAATCTGTTTCTCTAACTGTGACTCTAATTACTACATTTGCATGGCAGAAAAGTTTGCTTTGTGGGTTGACTTTTATTAACAGTGCTTGCATGTTGTTTTCTGCTCTTGCTCTCGGTGTTTTATGAGCACACAGAGCACCTTCAGTTGCATTGAATAATTATGCACAATCAATAAGTTTTTGTGTTTGTCTTTGTTGTTTCTTTGATGTGGCCTCTAGGATGCTGCTGGCAAGGTGCTGGACCGCTGGGCCATCATGTCTCGAGAAGAGGAAATCATCACCCTTCAGCAGTTTCTGCGGTTTGGAGAAACCAAATCCATTGTGGAGCTGATGGCAATTCAGGAGAAAGAAGGACAGGCCGTGGCTGTACCATCTTCAAAGACAGACTCAGATATAAGGACTTTCATTGAGAGCAATAATCGCACCAGGAGTCCCAGCCTCCTTGCTCACTTAGAGAACAGCAATCCTTCCAGCATTCATCACTTCGAAAACATCCCAAACAGCCTTGCATTTCTGCTTCCATTCCAGTACATAAACCCTGTCTCAGCGCCACTGCTAGGGTTGCCTCCAAATGGGCTACTGTTAGAGCAACCAGGGTTGAGGCTGCGGGAACCCAGCCTTTCAACTCAGAATGAATATAATGAGAGCAGTGAATCCGAAGTTTCTCCCACACCTTATAAGAATGATCAAACACCCAATAGAAATGTCCTGACCAGCATTACTAATGTGGAGCCCAAAACCGAGCCAGCCTGTGTCTCTCCCATTCAGAATTCTGCCCCAGTCAGTGATTTAACTAAAACTGAACACCCAAAAAGCTCATTCCGGATTCATCGGATGAGAAGGATGGGGTCAGCCTCTAGGAAGGGAAGAGTGTTCTGTAATGCATGTGGGAAGACGTTCTATGACAAAGGTACTCTCAAAATTCATTACAATGCTGTTCACCTGAAGATCAAACATCGATGCACCATTGAAGGTTGCAACATGGTCTTTAGCTCCCTCCGAAGTCGTAATCGCCACAGTGCAAACCCCAATCCTCGCCTTCACATGCCTATGCTAAGGAATAACCGAGATAAAGATTTAATTCGGGCCACCTCAGGAGCTGCCACCCCTGTCATAGCAAGTACAAAATCAAATCTGGCACTCACAAGCCCTGGCCGGCCCCCAATGGGTTTTACCACTCCCCCTCTAGACCCTGTCTTGCAAAATCCTCTCCCTAGCCAGCTGGTGTTTTCTGGGCTAAAGACTGTACAACCAGTTCCTCCATTTTATAGAAGTTTACTCACTCCAGGGGAAATGGTGAGTCCTCCAACCTCCCTCCCAACCAGTCCCATCATTCCAACCAGTGGTACCATAGAGCAGCACCCCCCGCCACCCTCTGAGCCAGTAGTGCCAGCAGTGATGATGGCCACCCATGAGCCCAGTGCTGACCTGGCACCCAAGAAAAAGCCCAGGAAGTCAAGCATGCCTGTGAAGATTGAGAAGGAAATTATTGATACCGCCGATGAGTTTGATGATGAAGATGATGACCCCAATGATGGTGGAGCTGTGGTCAATGACATGAGCCATGACAATCATTGTCACTCCCAAGAGGAGATGAGCCCAGGCATGTCTGTGAAGGACTTTTCTAAGCATAACAGGACCCGGTGCATTTCAAGGACTGAAATAAGGAGGGCCGACAGCATGACTTCTGAAGACCAAGAGCCTGAGCGGGACTATGAGAACGAGTCTGAGTCTTCGGAGCCCAAACTGGGCGAGGAATCCATGGAAGGGGATGAGCACATTCACAGCGAAGTGAGTGAAAAAGTCCTGATGAATAGTGAGAGGCCTGATGAGAACCACAGTGAGCCCTCTCACCAGGACGTCATCAAGGTGAAGGAAGAATTTACAGACCCCACTTACGACATGTTTTACATGAGCCAGTATGGACTGTACAACGGTGGGGGTGCCAGCATGGCCGCCTTGCATGAGAGCTTTACATCGTCTCTGAATTATGGCAGCCCTCAAAAGTTCTCCCCAGAAGGTGACCTGTGTTCTAGCCCAGACCCCAAAATATGTTATGTGTGCAAGAAGAGTTTCAAAAGCTCCTACAGTGTGAAACTTCACTACAGGAACGTTCACTTGAAAGAGATGCACGTCTGCACAGTGGCTGGTTGCAATGCTGCATTCCCCTCTCGCCGAAGCAGAGACAGGTCAGTAAATCTCCATTGGCTGCTCCTGCTGGGGGTGGAGGGTGCCAGTTTTCAGTCATGTTGGACTTCACACTAAAAGAAATCCAACTTAGATGTTTTTGATGCACTGTAAAGATTGTCCACAGTGATCACGTGATAACTAGGCTGCCATGCTCATGAAGGATTGTTGCAGTTGGTGCTTGTGATGATTAAGCATGCAGAATCATGTGCCATCTTACCCGTAATGCACGCCATTTTTCTCTGTGCTCTGTGTATATGTGTGTGTATGTGTTTTCATGCATCTGGGTGTGAATAAGTTAACTATGTACACGGTTCCCTGCTTCCCCGTGAACCTTCACTTAGAAGCCGCAGCTTCTGTTATATATATATTTATATATTTATATTTCTGCTTTGCCATGTGGCTTTTTGATTAAATCAATATATTATCTTCATACACACATATTTATCCAATATAGAAACAGAAATTTACGGATGGAAAGAACCATAGGTCCAGGACATCGAGACAGCCTGCATCTCCGTAGGTATAACCAGTAATGTTATCATTCCTTACATGAGTATTTAGTGTGTCCTTGAATTCTTTAAGAGTCATGAAAATATCAGGAGGAAATGGGACAGATGTAATTGTTGATGTGGGAAAATGGTATGGTGGTGTGGGTTTCTTTATCTTAACTTCATAATGGCTTTGAGCACATCTCTAAACTATAGTCTACCATGGGGATTATTCACAGAAGGGGAGGCATGCATATACTTTGAGGACCAGCACGAATGTATTATGTCCAGCCTTCAGATGACATCACACTCTTGCTATGTAGTTGCAGCTCTGAAACAGTTGGGCTTAAACAGAAGCAGCTGGTCCTAAACCTACAAAGTTCTTTATTAATCCTCAAGAAAATGTAATATAAATGGAATGTATCAAGGTGGTCAGTGGCAGGATAGTGCGGTTATCCTGCATTTGTTGAGATAAGCTTATGAGCAGATCATTTACATAATACACCACCAGCCCGACTCAGGTCACAGGCCAGTTTAGTTCTTCAACCATTATATCAGGTGTGGTTTTTGGTTCTACATTGTCTTTTAAAAATATTTTAGAGAAAATTTATTAACATGGTGGAAATCAATGGAAGAAACACATTAAATTAACTAGAAAGTTTCTACAGAGCCACCACTAGTAAGCAGTAATTCTAGTGCTTGTCAATTGCGTAGAGTTCTTTGGCAAAGTAACATTAAACATACCACTGAAAAGTAGTGTCCTGTCTCTGGAATATTCTGTTTTGTCTTCATATTTGGAGATCAATCCTTTTTTAAATAAAAGTTTGAAGAGTATTTTTTTCCTTTCTACTGAAATAAAAGGGGGCCAATCTTTGAAAAGCAAAATCTTTAAGAAAAATAAGTAACTTTCTTATATAACCCAAAACATGCTTTGAGGAGAAACTATTTTTTAATGATTTTCCCACCCCCATTTACTTTGTTCTGTAAAAGTGGTTTATAGTCATGTTATTTCAGTTCCAAGGTATCATTGACAGTCCCAGAATATATCAGATAAGATGGCTATATTTTGAATAATAAAATACTGTACCCAACCTCCCCCAAGTTGTGAGCAATACTCATTCTTTTAAATTTGAGATAGTACACTACTAATAATGAGGTTAATGCATTGCATTTTTTTAAACAAAAATAAAAGACTCGAAAACCTGCATAAAATATTTATGGAAATGGAGTGTTTGAAGACAAGCCAAAATTTAATCTTAATTGCATGAATTCCTATCACAGTTTTAGTTGGTTTGCTGAAAATATTGCAAGTCATAGCACTGGAATAAATAGCTGTGAGACCAAAAGGCTACACACCCAACGTTTGAAGCCTTCATTTATGTAAAATTCCTAGAAAACGCAAGTGCTCGTATGTGTATGTCTTAACACATAAGGAGGCACTGTTGAGGTACTGCTTATTGGTTTGTCTGAGGAAAAACAGTTATTGATAGCAGGAAAATATTTCAGTCTTCATTTTTTATTGTAGGTATCAGGATTTTAGTGCGTGACTAACTATATATAAGTTTAGACCCACATCTAGGATGATGAGGATATTCTAGGTGGGAAGAAGAGTACAGATGTGCTCCCAGGGTGTTCAGTCACGCAGAAGATAGCAAGCTTCAGAAGACAGCTGATACATTTCATTTGGGTGAAATCACAGTGTGTCCAATCTTTTTCAATTTGGAGCTTTATCACATAGGATAAATGGAAAAGCAGATTGCAAAAATTGTAGAATAGAAACTTTTTAAATTCTTACTTGAAATTTTGCTTTTTAACAATACACAACTCTTTTGATCCTAGGTTATAAACACACAAGTTCTGATACTTTAATTTTGACATTATATTTTCTGAAGAAAAGTTTTCATCTTGTTTGAGTCTATGACTTGAATTAACATAATGTTATGAGTTTAGCTACACCAAATAACCAGTGATGCCATTGGGGTGCCTGCCTCTTCCTGCATCTCAGCAGAGTGAACTGTGAAACATAATTGTATTCCTGTTTCAGCCTTTTATTGTCATTTCGTCAATGAATGTCAACCTGTGATTTAATCTCGTTATTCACAAAGCCTCTTGGATTACATTTCTGATCTGTCTCTTAGACTTACCTTCTCCTGTCTCTTCACTTTTACTTTATTAGTCACAAGAACCCCAGGAATTTTGTCTCCCTATTCTTTCCTTTTTAATTTGCTGTGAAGCTAAGACAAGTTTTCTTACCTTTTTCTTGAGCCAACAGACCTTCTCAAACAGAAACCCTCCTTTGTCTTTAATCCTGCTGTCCTCAGACCCATTTCTTTCCTCTCCCCAGAGTCTCAGTTTCATCCATCCTTGACTCCACAATGTCTTCCTTGTGCAAATAAAGCATTAGAGGGGATTTTGAGTGGGGGCTGAAGTGTGCAGGGCTAAGGGTTTCTAAGATTCCTGTCATAAAGCTAACAGAATTGCCCTCTTCCTTCTGTTTATAAAAGCAGACTTCTTCATGATTCGAACACCTTGGAGGAGTTTTACACAGGTCTGTCTGGGCTTCTTCCAAAGTGGTTATACATGAGGTAGTTGCATTTTTGGTCTCCAGATAGGCATGTTAGTAAGATGGGAAGTAGAAAGATGTTAAATACTACGTTTTAGGTTTGGCAGTTAATTAGCAAAGATTACCAGGTCCTTTGTTGGTGGTCCTTCTAGATTTTATAAGATCAAGTTGAAGATTTTTGAAAAGCAAGAATGCTGTTTGTGTAAAGTGACACAGAGGAAGGAAGGAGACACATGCAAGATTTGTTAGGGCTGAAGATTCCAAGCAACAGCGTCAAATCTATTCTTTTCTATATAGTTGTAAATGAGTGTGTGTTTAACAAATTCAGAAGCCAAGAGGACCATTCCACACGGACACAGAGCAAGCACACGAAGTGTGATTCATCTTTGTAACTAGGTAGCTGTTAGAATAATTTTTATTCTGAGTGATAGAAGTGAAATGTAAATAATTTTCTCTGTAGACAACTCTGACGCTCTAAAGCAGGGGTCCCGAACCCCGCGGCTGCAGACTAGTACTTGTCTATGGCCTGTAAGGAACCAGGCTGCACAGCAGGAGGTGAGTGGTGGGCGGGCGAGCATGACTGCCTGAGCTCCACCTCCTGTCAGATCAGTGGTGGCGTGAGATTCTCACAGGAGTGTGAACCCTATTGTGAAATATGCACGGGAAGGATCTAGGTTGCACACTCCTTAAGATAATCTAATGATAAATGTAACATGCCTGAATCATGGAATCATCCCAAAACTATACCCCCCACTCACGTCTATGGAAAAATTGTCTTCCATGAAACTGGTCCCTGGTTACCAAAAAGTTTGGGGACTGCTGCTTTAAGGTGACTGCTAAAGTCTTCAAGTATATCCTGATAACAAAGTGTAGTGTTCGATTTTGAGGTCTCTAAAGACCCTTTCCTCCTTCTTGTTTATCCCTTGATCTGTCTGCTGCTGAGCTGCTGTTCTGTTAAGGAACAGGAGGCTGCCCCTCTATTATGAAGTATACATATGAAATCTTTCCTAGGAAGAGGAAATTCTAACTGGCCTGGAACCTGCCGTCTTCATACGGGAAATTTTCTTGAAGAGAGCCTGATAGTCAGAATTAGCTGGGTGTAGTTGACCTTTCATCCTTTCTCATACTCTGACTTGATTTTTGATCCCCAGGACCTGAGTGGCATAGGTCACTCATTTTGAAGGGGAGCCTACTTATAAGTTAATTTGGTTTTTATTCAGGAAGAAAAATAACAAATACCCTCTGTTCTCTTTCCTAATATTCCTTATCATTTGCTCATAGGTTAAAATCTATTCATATTTGTCTTAATGATTGGCAGTTCTAAAATCCCATCTAAAATGAAGACTTTGTACCCAGCAACTAGATGATCTGTATAGTAAGAAGTCATTGTCTCTTTTTCATCCTACGTGAGTTTTACCATCTTTGTTCCTTTCTTCTCAGAGTAGTAGCTGCTAGTTGTCAAGGTTTGTCTTAAATTTTATCAGAAAGGTAAGCATATATGTTTGATCTTCAAGTTGTAAAAAGATGATTTAGCCCTATGAATAAATTTAAAGACCAAATTATTTTTGCTGAGGGTGATTTATAAATAAATATGAGGCAACCATTGGTGTCACATGTGAACCTTCCATTTGATTGCTAGTTTAATCAGTCCACATCTAAATGTGGAAACTTCTCTATTCCTATGGAGGAAGACATGTGTATTTGGTTTATTAAAACCTGCTGATGTCTCCAGAACTAAATTTGTTCCTCTATAGGCCTCTGGGTAGCTGTAGCTAAAAAGCAGAAATGTATGGTTTTAGCTGGTCTGATTACCTGACTTCCAGCCCTGTACAGGTGTGCAGGAATAAATTAACATGAGCTACCTCTGATGAGCCACTGCATACATTAACAACAGAGGTGAAGATGCGAGAACATGTTACCTACCTCCTGTTACCACCTTCTCAGCATAGCAACATCCATTTTTTCCATGATTCTCTATGTTTGGAAACTTATACAGAACTTTTTCTAGGGAGGACTTTTCAGTAAATACACATGATTTCACCAGGTAATACCTCTAAGAAATGAGCCACTTAGCACCAATTCAAGATAACGATTAGTATATTTGCCCTAATATAATTAGCTGTCAAATACGATGTGGTAATCCCCTCCAAGTAAAAGGGGAGAACATTTTAAAGCATTAGCTCTTTCATTTCATTGCCAATCAAACTACAAGTCTCCATTTCTAAAATTCTCTTATAACGTGAAGTTGTGCAGATCCTCTGACTTCTAAATGTTAAGGAAGAGTTTTTTTTTCCCCCCTGCTACTCTATTTGGTTTCACAATAGAGCCAGATCAATAAACCTTTTGTACTTATCTCCATTACTTTCCATCAGAAGCAAACACACAAAATAAATCCCCCTCCTGAGTAATTGTTAGTTGTGCCCTCCTCAAGCAAAACTTTGGTAGTAAGATAAACTTCAGTGTCATTCC